CGTTCTCATGAACTTATATTTTCGCTGACAGTAATAGCATGTAGCTGCCCGGCACAGGAACTAATTAGGGCAGAAATAAGTTTCTTAGGCAATCTTGGGTGCGGAAGTCTCTTACTTAGTCGGAAAAAGGGAAGTGACGACTATGATATGTAATTCTGATGGAATGATCTACCTCCATGAGAAAGTACCGCCACATATGATAACTTAGGATGCAGAAAGAGAGTCTCTCAGGCAGGGGTGATGGAGACTAACCAACGAGGTCGTGTACCTCATAAGCATACCTCTGACCTCCCGCATCAGGCTACTTTGTATCAGCAATATACAGCACAATTCATCTACTGGATCTATCCCATGCAGAGCTTCTTGCCGCTGCTGCATTGAACCATGTTTACCTACTGTTCCAAGCTACTCACCCTCTGTTGATTGATTGGGCCGGATGTCTTTGATCCAAGTGCTGAGGGGTGCTGCGCCGCAGCAATACTACTTCCCTCTGTTTTCACTCTTGTAATCTCTTCGACATCGGTGATTTTGTCCCTACATCGACCCGCATTCTCAGAGTAATACTTTTTTCGACTTACATGTATTATACCCTTAATCGTCGAGATTTCCACCTTCTGACTTGCTTTTGTGACCATCACAGTTTACCGCACCTGAATCCTTCTGTGATCAACATTGTACTTGCTTCATACTGAACTCTTGGCTAGATGTCTGCCAACATTGTGAATGCGACAGGGATAGAATGCCTCATACAGCAGCGCTATCCCGGCACCTCTCGTGATGAAGCCTATGTCAGACTCTTCAACGACCTGAAGCCTCTTATGAATCCTGCTGCGGTAGGATGGCACAACTTCATACAAGCCCTTGCAATTCTCCTCAACAAGCCAGTTTATAGTCTCGCTGAATCTGCAGGTCGTACAGCCCAGCGCATCCTTGGAGCCGTTTCTCAGAACATTTCGGAGACGTCCCAGCCCGTCAAGGATAATCCAAATGACATCTCGGATCAGACGATGATACAGATACTCCGAAATCTCGCAGCGGCTGCCGGAACTCTTCCAGAAGTGGTATCAAGTACCGGATCCGATGGCAGTGAAGAGTACAGTATTCAACACAGCTCCGATGGGTACGTAGCTGGAATCCACCAAGATAATCAAAGCCAACAGGTCATTAACAAAACAATAAACAGCTTCTCTAGAGGCGGACCCCGAATGTTCAGAGTCTTCAATAACTCCTTCAACGCTGGGCGTGAATTTACCGCCGTCTTTGCTACCTGTGCTCTGTCGACTACGGCCCTTACTATACAGACAAAAGCGAAGGAGTTACGGGCCATCGGATTAAACCCCAAGGACATTCCTGATGATACAAGCTATCGGACGACACCAATGGTCCAGGGCTGGAAGTTCCACGGCTTCGGACATTTCATCTACAAGTTCGTCGACAATGAAACTGTGACTGTTGGCGGTAGAGAGGCCGATGGACGTCATGCCTTTTATGTCTTCAATCCGACAACCAGTGCCAACGAAGAGTTTAGGACACAGGTCCAAAGGAGGCCCTTACAAGCCTCATTTGGCGGGATGTGCTCCGATCTCGAGGCTGTTTTCCTTCTTATGTGGCAAAACCGTCGGTCGCTTCGAAAGAGAGACCCGGAAAATGCAGATAACGTGATATTCCACTTGCTGGTTCCGGCAAAGAGGACTTTCGCTATTGCAGAGAGAATGGTTATCGATGACGGAGTGGGGAAGCTGATAATCAAAGGGCACACGGACGAAGGTGCCTGCTATGCGTGGTTCAATTTTGTATCTTTGCCACGGCAAGTGGCACTACATGATGTCGGAAACCTTAACAGAGACTCTGCCGATCTCGACAGATCATGGAAACGTGAGAAGAGTGGTGCACTTGCATTCTTCGGCTGCGGGCTTATGACAATTATCACTGGGTTTTTTATCCCCTCGGCAGCGCCATACTTTGCTTGGCTGTGTTTTGCATCGTTGGCAGTGGCATTGAAGTATGGCGTACTGGATAATCTGCGACGGAGTTACCGGTCTCCTCCTCGTATTCTCGGTCCTCCGTCAGAGGTTCATCGAGAACTAAAGAAAGATTGATATGTAGTGACTTAACTGAGATGTGATAGTTGCTTGGTTCTCTTTCGAAGAAATTGACTGTTCTGAGAGAATTGTTCTGAAAGTCATCGTAGAGGTAGCCGGAGGAGGCTACACAAAATACTAAAGTATACTTGAGTGGACCCACGAGTCCTATCAGTACCACCAAGGTACTCTTAGATGAGTATTTCTACAGGTTAGATCCCCAACTTGCTTGCTTCACAGACACCTCCCCCCTCCTCAGCATCAGCATCCGATCCATCCGACCTGGTCCCACCGGATCATCACAGGGCTCGAGGAAAAACAAGCTTCAGCAGCCGTTAGTCCGGCAGAGGAGTGGGTCAATCAGCCACCAACTCCATTGTCATAGTACTCTCAGTGCCTAAGAAAAGCAGGGACGAGTCACCTACACTCCACATTGACAATGTTGATAAGGCGGAAATAACTCGGGGATCGGCATGTCTTAGTACCAAATCATGAAGTTACAAAATAAGTTGTCTGCGCGGCTTGCGCGCTGGTGGAGCAGCCGGGATACGTCATATTCGACACATTTGAATAGTACCGGAATATTGACATAACCCTTGGCAGTACTATCTGGGCTACATAAATACTACCGACGTGGTAGTGTTAGCATACTATAGTACTGGTTAGTTCACCGATTATATCTCGATCATTAGCTCCTAAACAATGACTGTTCCTGTTGAAGATAGCTTTGATTTTGTCGTCGTCGGTGGTATGTTCTCCTCAAATTCACTCCTTATAATTCTGTCTGACAAGAAGTAGGCGGCACAGCTGGAAATGTCGTGGCCGGTCGGCTGGCCGAGAACCCCGACGTGAGAGTCCTGGTCATTGAAGCAGGCGTTAGGTATGTATGCCCTCTCGACAACCAACCATCAATCACTGTGCCAATCTGACCATAACCAGCAACCCGAGCGAGATCTCAGAAATCACCACACCAGCATCTGCCTTTGGGCTACGTGACAGCCAATATGACTGGGCATACAAGTCCACCATGATCAACCAACCCTACTATGAACGGGTAGAGAAGCCCAACACCCGGGGCAAGGTGCTCGGTGGTAGTAGCTCTTTGAACTACTATACCTGGATTCGGGGCAGTAAGGGAACGTTCGATGCATGGGCTGAATATGGAGGTCCTTCTTGGAGTTGGGATGAGTGTGAGGAGTATTTCAATAAGGTAAGCTGTGAATGAACAAGGAATGGAGGGATTATATTAATTATGTGCTGGACTAGCCCGCTACTTACCATGACGACGATAACCTCTACCCCTCAGAGCTATCAAAAATCGGCCGCAACGGTCCCCTGCACGTATCTCACGCAGACCTCGTCCCCGAACTACACACCTTTCGGGACGCCCTGACCGAAGCATGGACCAGCAAAGGCCAGAAGACATGCGAGGACATCTACTCTGGCAAGATGGAGGGTCTGACGCACTGTGTCAACAGTATCTACGGTGGGATGCGGTCGACCAGTGCATCTTATTTGGCTGATAAGCCAAACGTGACCATCTTGAGCTCTGCGATCGGGAAGAAGATTAACTTCGATGACAATCTCAAGGCAACAAGTGTCACTGTCAGTGGCGCCGATCGGACCGAAATGACCTTCACAGCCAAGTATGAGATTATTGTCGCGTGCGGCGTCTTCGAGACGCCGAAGCTGCTGATGCTCTCGGGAATTGGTCCGAAAGAAGAGCTGGCTCGTCATGGTATTGACTCGGTTGTGCAGTCGGCACATGTCGGTCAGAACCTGCATGATCATCCTATTCTTGCTCATGTGTTTCGTCTGAAAGATGGGACTGGTCTCGATAGCCACCTTCTCCGTGCTGGTCCTGCGCAGAGCGCTGCTTTGCAGAAGTACCGCGCTAGCAAGAAGGGTCCATTTAGTAGTGGATTACTGGAAATGGTAGGCTTGCCGCGCATTGATGACCGTTTGGAGCGATACAAGGAGTATCGCGAGGCGAAGGCGCAGAATGGTGGTAAGGATCCATTTGGACCGGAGGGGCAGCCGCATTTTGAGATTGATTTCGTGGTAAGTCGCCTACCTTTCCCTTAAGCATTCAAATTTCTTGAGTAGGGTATCTGATGAATGAAGCCAATGTTCTCCGACGCCTTCCAATGGCACTTCCCCGTTCCTCCCGAAGGCGACTGGCTGACCGTCATCGTCGATCTTCTCCGCCCGCTATCCAGAAACGGAGAAGTGAAGCTCAATTCAGCCGATCCACACCAACAGCCATACATTAACCTGAACTTCTTTTCTAATGAACTTGACATCCTAGCCTTGCGAGAGGGCGTCCGTTTCGTGGACGATATCCTCATGACCGGGGACGGAATGAAAGAAATTCTGGGCGAAGACTACCCGTGGCCCATGCCTCGCCACTCAGATGAAGCCATGAACAAAATGATCTTAGAGCGGTCGCAGACGGGATACCGTAAGCTACTCTACCACTCAGCATGGACGCGCACAGCAACTAATTAATGTTCACGTCATAGACCCCTGCGGCACGGCCCGACTGTCCAAGGACATTGCACACGGCGTGGTGGACCCGGAGCTGCGCGTCCACGGCGTGCAGAATCTTCGCGTCGTGGATGCGTCCATTATCCCTCTGATTCCTGACTGTCGGATTCAGAATGCTGTGTATATGATCGGAGAGAAGGTGAGTCACTACTTCAATCAATCCAGACATTCAATTGGTGAAGAATGCATGCTGAAACCACGCTAGGGCGCGGACATGATCAAGGCAGCTTATCCGGAGCTTTATCGAAGCTGATGGAAACCTATAGGAGTCAGCATTGGTGAGCTTAGATATAGAATATCATATGATTAATAATTTGACACAAAATACAGTAGTGACTCATGTAGATATATTACTATCTCATAAAAGTGGAAATAAAATCGCCATGACACTCAAGTCAGCATTAATCAGCCAGACTTGCTAATAAGCTTATTTGTCAGCTACTTCTTCCATCATTCCTATATATACCTACCAGATTTCCAGTACTATTCTACATTTATTCCTATCCAATCCAATTCAACCCTATATAGCCACTCCTCACCAACACAACACACGCACACACACACACACACACACACACACACAACCATGGATCTCACCACCTCCACCTCATCCCCCACCACCACCACCACCCCCGAACCCATCACCGGCAGCTGCCTCTGCGGCGGCATCCAATACGAAGTAACCGGCGAACCCATGAAACGAGTAATGTGCCACTGCGAAAACTGCCGGAAATTCTCGGGGTCTAGCTTCATGGCCAACAGCTTCATGAAAGAATCTGTTAGTCTCACCCCCCCTCCCCCTTCTCTTCAACCTATTCCCAGCTAACATACATCCAGCAACTAACCATCAAATCCGGCGAATCCCTCATTCAAAGCTTCAAAGACACGAAAGTGGACTCCGGAAGTACATTGGAACGACGCTTCTGTCGCGTCTGCGGATCCCCCGTGTCTGTGACGAGTAGTCGGGCCGAGGGGTTCGTGGTTGTGCCGTCCGGTACGATGGATGGGGAGGCGGGCAGCAAGTGGAGGCCTGAGGTGGAGTTTTGGTGTAAGGAGAGGAGGGAGTATTTGCCTATGCTGGAGGGGACGCAGATTTTGGAGACGCATTAGTGGTTGTCTCGTTTTGAGGGATGTGAGTAGCCCCGGGGGGGATGGGGGTTGGAGGTCGTTGTGAGTGAGAGATGATATCCTTTGGTCTCCTTTATTGGGAGGGTGGGGTGTGTATAGATGGGTTATTTTGGTTACTTGGGATTGATGTTGGCATATCCTGGAGATACGGCTTCGGAATTATCAAAATAGAGAGACAACCATGTCACTGTTAGATAGAAGACGGGAAACGGATTAAGCTTGGTTGCTGTGACAATGATAACTGGTCAATGTGGTCAGAGTGATGTTTTATCTTTTCTTCTAGGCATTATGCACCATTCCTTCACGAACTATGCTGAAAGGGAAAGGGAGCTGAGAAGAAGTTCACATATGCTATTAAATTAAATATCGCTAACAGACGGACTCAATGGGCCCGACAGGATTAATGTCACATCATAGTACAGCCCCCTCCGTTCAGACTAGCCCAGAATCCATAAGTCCAATTATTTACTGCTCCAGGGTAGAGCATCCGAGAGCCAGAAGACCGTTCTACACTGTCGTTAGCCTGACATCATCCCTCCGTAGGAGAAAACTTACCAAGAGGTTAATCTCAGTGCAGCACTGGGGTTCCGACGTGCAGCTGTCGTCGTAATCCTTGCCTGTATTTTCGTTAGTAACCTGTTATGTTTTGAGGAAGTAAAATATATGGTCACGCACAAAGAAGACCGACGGAGCCAACGATGTTGGAAGCATCGATACCCAAGTCCAAGAGGATGGGGTCGACAAGAGGGTCAAGAGGGGTGGTCAGGGAGCCACAGCACAGAATGGGAGGAACGCACTGCGCCTCTGTGACGGTGCTGATGGTGCCATCAGAGGTGCCCCGCTGAGCGGCCACTTCCTTCACCTGAGACTCAAGAGACGCGGTGCTGTCCTGGGCGGCAGGGACGGCCACGGCGGTGGTGGCGATGGCCAGGATGGAGAGAGCGGTGGTGAACTGCATTGTGACTATGGTGATGGACTTGCAAAGATGCAGAAGAATGAGCGTTGCTGGTATTGTAGAAGAATGTCTTTGTATTATAGTGTTCAGCTTTTGTCTGATGTTGGAGGAATTGTAGAGGAAGTCAAGCGTCCTTTATAGGTTTGAGCAGAGGTCAATTACTAAGGGTCAAATTCAAATCATGGCATTGAGCTGAACGTCAAAGTTGTATAGTTCCATGGAAATTCCCAACCAGATGCCTGATGGTTATCTCGAGTCATTCGATCAGTCACACTCGGTCGAGAGGACCGATGGACATTGCCTCAAAAGCCAGTCGCATTGGGATAGATCGATGCTGGGCAAACTAAGAATTGTGGCAGGTTTCCGGAAGCTGCAGTATGGAAGTCTAAGCCGAAGGATCTCCGGAGAAAGGATGCCCAGTCATAGTCTGTGGCACCTTGTTCCCCTGCAGGTACCGCTGCAAGCGAGGGACCCTGTGGAGAAGTCGATCGATCATTCCCCATTCTGGGGAAGACCGTACCTGCATGGGAGAGTTAGAATCCAATAGTTCGGAATCTGGGACCAGCTGAAAAGCGCCTGCCTGTCAAGGAACGCCGTCTTATCAGTTGAACCAAAGTAGCCCTCAATCTGGTGGCGAATCAGACACAATTCTGGCCATCCAAGGACAAGAGGCATGCGCGATAGCCGGACAGAAATTGAGAATAAGCTATAGAAGAACTAGTTGCTTCTCGGAGGTTTAGAAGAGCGTTTCACTGCATTCAGGTCGCATATCCTCAGGTACTAGTGAAGTTCGTAGCTAATATGGCAAGGGAAGGCAGTCTTAGAGAGTCTTGATGATTCCCTTTCAGCAACCGAGGATCTATCATGGACAGGGACAGGGCCCATATCGAGCCTCAATCCCTGATCGAACACCCCGATCTCAGCTGGATCTCAGAAACATCACTCTCAGCCTTGCAATTGGGGGGGACTGATAGACGATCCTTTACGTAAATCCACATTGGGTATAGAGCCAAGCGCTCAGATAGCAGATCCTATTGACATGTTCGCCGGATGGATTAGAGTTCGCATGGGATCGGAGATTTAACCGGACTGAGGGATGGGGGAAGCCAATAGTTAGTTGAGCAATTAGTAAATTCATTGTCGATCTATCAAGTATGTTGTCATGCATTTTATTATATGAGAGATAAGCGGGCATAACATGAATTTGGATGATGATGATAAGACAAAAAGCAATTCCACTGGAGAACCGTAGATAGCGTGCATAACAGACAATGCATAATTACCTTACTCAGCACATAGATAGTCACTGCATAGCTGTTATGCAGTCACCTGACTGTTATCGTATCTGTGGCGGTGCATGCGGCTCATGCCAAGACTTGTCGCGCCACAGACTCGCGACACAAAAAGTGCAAAGTCGAAAGTGAAGCCCAAGTCGGTCAATATCCGCCGTCTGCGATCCTCCCCTCTCATCTTCCCCAGACTCTCCCAGCTGGGTTTTTTTTTCTTTCTTTTCCTTTTATAATTCCTATTATCTAAGGGCCATCCCTAAGTCAGACATTATGGCTCCCATCTCTATCGCAGACATCGTCGCCGCTCTGCCGGCCGAAGACACCTGGGGCCCCGCTACCGCCAGCGACAACATGCTGGAGGGCGTCCCCTACGCTCCCTTCTCCAAGGGTGACAAGCTGGGCCGTATGGCTGACTGGACTGCCGAGTCCAAGGACCCTAACCGTGCCGGTCGCCAGGCCTACAACCGCAACTACAGAGGTATACCATATCCTAATATATCCAGCCAAGCCAAGACAAAGCAACTAACTCTGTTTTCTCCAGACCAGCAAGTCTATGGTGCCGGTTCCTCCAGCCTCTTCGCCGTCCAGGTCGCCGAAGACGAATCCTCCTTCTCCGTTGTCGACAACACCCGCAGCTCCGCTAAGCGTACCTTCGGCCGCGGCGGTGGTACCGTCTTCCGTGGCCGCGCCCAGCGCGGTGGTGCTCAGCGCGGTGGTCGCGCCGGCTTCCAGCGTGTGGGTGCTGGCCGTGGCCAGGGTGGTGACCGCTACTACGACAACCGCTCTGGCGGCCGTGGCAACCGTGGCCGTCGCTTCGGCTGGAAGGACTACGACAAGCCCCAGCGCACCCGTGAGCCCTCGGTCAACGTCCGCCCCGACTGGAACATGCTGGAGGAGGTTGACTTCAGCCGTCTGTCCAAGCTGAACCTCGAGGCCCCCGAGGGTGAGGACGTCGACTCGTACGGTTTCCTCTACCACTACGACCGGTCCTACGACAAGGCCCCTGTCAAGAACGCCGAGCGCCGTCTCCAGTCCCTCGACCGTGCCGCCTACAACGTCACCACCACCCAGGACCCCGTCATCCAGGAATTGGCCGAGAAGAACGAGGCCACCATCTTCGCCACCTCGGATATCCTGTCCATGCTTATGTGCGCTCCCCGCAGTGTCTACTCTTGGGACATTGTCATCGTTCACCAGGGCAACAAGATCTACTTCGACAAGCGCGAAGGCGCCTCCCTGGACCTGGTCACCGTCAACGAGAACGCCGCCGACGCTCCCCTTGAGCTGGCCGACTCCGCCAACAAGCAGGATGCCATCAACACCCCCAGCGCCCTGGCCATGGAGGCCACCTTCATCAACCACAACTTCGCCCTGCAGACCGTCGTCGAGTCCGAGGACAGCAAGGTCTCCCTGGCCCACCCCAACCCCTTCTACAACGCCGCCGAGGAGACCGAGCCCCTCGCCTCCAAGGCCTACAAGTACCGCCGCTTCGACCTGTCCCTGGAGCGCGACGACGAGCCCGTCAACATGATCGTTCGTACCGAGGTCGACGCCCTCATGAAGAACCCCGTCAACGGCGAGGACCAGCAGCTGCTCGTCAAGGCCCTCAACGAGTTCGACAGCAAGGCCCAGGGCTCCGGTGGCGCTCTCGACTGGCGCAGCAAGCTCTGGTCTCAGCGTGGTGCCGTTGTCGCTACCGAGATGAAGAACAACAGCGTCAAGCTCGCCCGCTGGACCACCCAGGCCATCCTCGCCAAGGCTGACGGCATGAAGCTGGGTTTCGTCTCCCGTGCTAACCCCCGCTCTGCCGCTGGCCACGTCGTTCTCGGTGTTGTCGGCTACAAGCCCCGTGATCTGGCTGCCCAGATGAACCTGAACCTCAGCAACGGTTGGGGTATCGTCCGTACTATTGTTGACCGTATCCGTGCCCTCGATGCCGATGAGGATGAGGACAAGGTCACCAAGTACGTCCTTATCAAGGACCCCAACCGTCCTGTGCTGCGTCTGTACAGCGTCCCTGCTACCACCTTTGAGGAGGAAGAGGAGGTCGCTGCTGAGGAGCAGGAGGCTGCTGAGGAGGAGGCTGATGAGTAAACGGAAGCCACGTCATGATGGTCTTATCTTCTTCTATCTCATGTGCATATTGATTGTCCTTGCTTTCAAAAGTTAGTTACGAACGACGTCTCAACATAGAGTTTGTCCATTATGTTCTACAGATTATAATTCAATCGCACGACGCACGCAGTCCAGTAGATTTCTACATCACTACCTACCTTGCAGTCACGTAAAGCAGACATTAAGTAGTAGATTCACACAAGCGAACTATAAGTAAACTACAAGTGGAATAATCAGGCAACAATTCGGATTCTCGCCCCTATCCACCCCATATACAGCCGTATGTTGGATGGACTCAATAATGTGTCATGAATAAGGAGCATATTTACAGTCCCTTCATAGCATTGAATAATTCTACAATATTCCACAGCACACCATCTCCACAACAGTATACTCGTATTCCAAATAACTCCCCCCAATCTAACCCTAACATCTATCCTCATTCCTCCACAACTACTTAACAACCTCATCTCCCTTCCCCCTCCACCACCAATCAAATTCACAAATTCCTCCCAAAAAACCCCTCAATTCTCTCCCACGGAATCAACTCCACACGATCATACAAATCAACATGCCCAGCCCCAGACACCCACAACAACTCCTTCGGCTCACTAGCCCCCCTATACGCATTCTCACTAAACTCCCTAGAATGGGCCTGATCCCCCGAAACAAACAGCACGGGTCTAGGCGCAATGACATCCAAATCCTCGAGGGGATAAAAGTTCATGAACTTCAAGTAACTCGTCACCGTCGGATGCGTAGTCAACTCCGGCGTGGAACCCAGCGGCGTAAACTCGCCACGCACCGTGCGGTAAAAGTCATAGAACTCGCGATCCACGGCACTAGCATTAGCCGTGAGGGTGTTCGGCGTACCGCTAGTGTATCCAGTGGGATGGGTCGCTCCGCCAGGGTGCTCGTACTCAGGCCAGCGCTGCAGCGCAGCGGAGGCAATCACTTTCTGACGCTGGGTGAGGTT